AACTGAGCTCAGTTAGAGTTCAACTTTGCTTTGCTCTGTCAATACTCGTTAAGCAAAATCTATCTTAACGATAAGAATTAGTGACCAATTCTCGTGACTCAATAATAAGAGCCTGTGACGTAATCTAGAGCACCTAGCTATTCGGACCAAGTCTCTCCATGCCTCGATCGAACCTTACCATTATTAGGGTTTGGTTAGAATAGTTTTAAGTAGTTTTTAATGTAGTGTTTATAGAGAGACATCCCGGAGCATTTTAACAACATATGGTACGTACTACATAAAATGAGGATGTCTGAACAAATATTTGATTTTCTGAAACCGAGCCGGTGTTTTTTTAATAACAACATTATTGGGCAAAATTTTGTGAATAACGGCAATTTGGCAAATGAACATGTGCCGCTTTGCGGCATGTGCAGCCAATCATTTGCTAAATTACCGTATTCGCAAATTTGCCCAATAATGATCATGATTAGTAGGTGAATAAACACGATTACATCGTATCACATGAAAAAAAATAACGTGCAGAAATTTATTTATGATCATAAGAGTTTGCATACTTATCCTGCCATTAAATATAAAAGAATAACGAAATATTTCTTATTTAAATATATACCCGATTTTAGTAATGATATTAAATTGTTTATTATATAATTTAATTGCTTCTCTGTAAAGATGGTTTTATGTGATAGACACGTAGATATTGTAGTTAATCTCCGCATGTGAAAATTATTTATTACTTGATGAATTGAAAAATGATCATTTAATAAACTCCTTTAAATAAGAATTGTATTTTCATTCGGATTAAAATGCCCGATAAGATATAGTGTAGTCACATAACTAAAATTCATAGTATTATTAATAATATAAATTGGGTGACTTCAAAACCGAATTTTCTATTTCAATTCTAACTTTGAGTTATAGAACATACGTACAAGTTTTGTAATTTTTTGATTTTATCATAAAGAATCAAAAATAATTTTTTATATGACAAACTAATAAATTTTTGACAAAGGAACGTATGTCGTTTTAAGATTAAATTTATTACATTTGTCTAAGAACAAAACGATAATTCAGTCCCTGTTCTCTAATTCACCTAGTCTATTATCATATAAATATAAAATAGATTTACCTCTATAATGAAAAATAGCACCCGTAGCTTAAAAATATATCAAGGTTCAACAAATAGCCTTACCAGACCTCGTTAATTACATTTTAGTATGGTTGAGAACTTAAGTCTGATCAATTGTAAATATATCATCTGCTACAATCTCAATTAACCCGTGATAAAGGTATACACAATGTTAACCTATATAAATGGAACAGAATCATTTTTATTATTAATATAATATACCAGTAAATTTCTATAAACATGACAGAACTAAGCCACTTTAAGCGAGAAATTCTTCATAGTGCTATTACCGTACGGGTACCTGGATAAGGGTTACAGGCTAAAATTCCTACGAACAAAATCTCGACCCATCTTTATTAAAGGGTAATAAAAAAAAAGGTATGGTCGATGACGGAGCTGTAAGGCTCAGAGGAAAAAGAAAGTCGATAGCTGAGCTGCAAAACTCAACCCATCTCTATATGAAGATAAAAGTATTAAAAAAAAAAACAGAGTTTTGTTGGTAGAGCTATTAAGCTCAAGCCACATACCCTTTTGCTATTTTATCATTTTTCCAGTAAAAATTAAAATTAAAAAGAGTCCTGACTTGCGAGAATCTTCATAGTACTATTAACCGTATGATCCCGGATAAGAGACTCACAGATTCAACTTCTACTGACCCGCATTAGCTAATTATATGGTTCATGCGTTCATGTTCTTAATCGATTATTTTCATCACACTTAAATATGAAGTTTCAATTATTAATAATATGGTTATCAAAAATATCGAAAGGATAAATTATGCTCGATAAGAAGAAAGATGTTTTTAATGGCAAAGAGCAAAGATATAAGGCTCAGTGCCATCACTAGCTTACGATAAAAAAAAAGGCGGTTTGATGGCGATGTCACTATCGTCACATGACTTTTCGACTCTGCGCCACTATGATCCACAAGTTTTGTTCCTCAAACCGATAACCATACGACCGATATCCCCTGTCTTTCCACTTGCCCATCTATTCTATAATTGTATCTCGATACATAGTTTTCTTATTGCCATATCAAGTTATCACCTATTTCCTTATACATACTCCTATACACCTAGTTTATTTCCATATTCGAATACCATATTGGGATTGACGTCGACGCGTAAGGTATAATCGTTGATATTTGATACAGTACACGAATGATGCTACGATCTAGCCTTACTGCCCTTTTTCTATTTCAACTGCGGCGCCTAAACTAGAAGTTATAAGGTGGAATCTCTTTAAATCACAATGGAGTAACTGGTCATCAAACGGGTCACTAACGTTTGATCAGAACGCATTTACTTATTATCACGCTCTACTAACCT